TCGACTTTTTTTTAAAGATAATTCCGTGTAGGTGCATCTAGATAAATAAATCATTTTACATAACAAGTTATCTTAAGACCATCGACATGGATTGACGAGAGGAGGGGAAGAGCAGTTTCTATGCCTCTGCCTTAACTCTCCCTGCCTTCCTAGATCTGAACCAGTGTTTTGGTTTCATCCACATATGCTTGTGAATCTTTGTTCTCAGTAATGAATTTTGTTTAGTCTCCTATAGGCGTAGCCTGGCTGATGAAAGTAGTAGCTCGTGCATATCTCTGCAGGTCAAGAAACATAAACCTGATGGAAAAATATCTGTCATCAGTGATGCAGCAGCAAAAGTCCCACTGATAATATCAAAGGGAGTCATAAAGTTTTCTGTCGGACTATCAGTGTACATATATACATTAAAAAATAAATGTATCTTTCGTCATCATATACTGTGTTTTTGTCACTCGAATGAATTTTATTATTTCTTCAAAGTTCTTCACACAAATGCACCTTAAGAGATATCAAGTAGGCATAAAATGTTCTCCAAGAATTAGGGTTGGCACACAGAAGAATTTTGAGTCAGAGATTTTGCTTGTTTTGTCACGCACTCACAAAAACTGTTTTATCCTATATCATGGAAACCCTGGCTGTAACGTCATGACAGAGGCTCAACCAAGCAGAAGGAAGTCAGTCTTGCAGGGCTCATCTTGCACTGCGAGTGGGCACAGCTAGCTCCTGTCATCTCATCAGGTTGCATGCCCGGAAAGGGTGACACCGTGCATGCTGGCGGATTTTAAAAAGATTCCCAGGTGATTCTAATGTGCAGCCAAGGTTGAGAACCACTGCACTAGAGCAAGCATGTCAAACTCGTGGCCCGGGGGCCACAGGCCTCATTTATTTGGCTTGTGTTGGCCTTTGAGTTTGACATGCTTGCACTAGAGCTTCTACTTAATGCTTCCTTTGTAAAAAGCCTGTTCAGGGTACCTTGAAGGTACATCTCTGGTCACCTCAGACTGGATCTGGAGCAGCACAGAGCACACAGCTGGGCATTAACACATTTCGGACCAGTAGCTTTATTGCTAGCTTTACCCAGGGGCCAGATACTAGTAAGTTTCTATTGAACGAGTACAAAAAACGTTTTACATAAAGGCACGCTTTAAAATTAAATACCCATTGCATTTTGGAGTTATTTGTTACATGTTCTTACAAGCTAATATCCTTTTAACGAATTCTCATGATTGGCCACAAGCCTTAGGACAGAAAAACACGAGAATTCTCGTGATCCAGTCTGCAATGTGTTGAAATCATTAACACAATACCCAGCCCTTAGAGCAGCGGTTCTCAACCTGTGGGTCGCGACCCCTTTGGCTGTCGAACGACCCTTTCACAGGGGTCGCCTAAGACCATCCTGCATATCAGATATTTACATTATGATTCATAACAGTAGCAACATTACAGTTATGAAGTAGCAATGAAAATAATTTTATGGTTGGGTCACAACATGAGGAACTGTATTTAAAGGGCTAGAAGGTTGAGAACCACTGCCTTAGAGCGTCCCACTGAGCGGCAACATTGCCTACTTTAGAGGGCAGAGGGGGTCACGTTTTTCAAATGCAAGGACACTCCTGTCCCTGCAGGGTGACACTGAACTCCTGAGGTGAGCTCCTGATGGGGTCACTCCAAGTTCTCGCCAGGTCTCCATACAGCTACCTTCCCATAACTGACACCTTGCTGAGTGGCCGAGTGCTGTGTGGAGTCCTGTGCGGGCACTGACTACCCCATCGGATGCCGTTCTGTCAGAGGAGGGGCCCTCTCCTAGACTCATAGGTGTTGGGACTATAGGATTCCCGAGGGCTGGGGTTGGACCCCTCATTAGACCAGAAGTTCCCTTTGTCACACAGGCAACTAGAGGGACCTGTGTTAGGAAAGCAGGGCTGGGTCTCAACTGCCTCCCCTAATCCTGGGGGAGCTGTTCCCCTGGCAGTGCCCTCTATCTACACCCCAGGGCCCCTGGGATCCTCAGGCAAAGTGGTGAGCATAGGGCTCCTGACTCCTAGATTAGCTAAGAGCAAGCAGAGCGAAACGTACAGGGCAGGTATCGGAGAGAATACCCAGTCAGGATGCCGTTGGGGTGTTCCGGGTGGTCCCACTCCAGGTTGATTGTCTGCAGGTTGGGCTGCCGGACTCGGAAGCGCCTGGGGGCGCTGGGTACTTGGGGAAGGAGAAGAGAGTGGGGGAGGTGAGGGGGAGCGGGAGGGGGCGGGCAGGTTGAGGAAAACAAAACAAAGCACAAGTATGAAGGCGCTGAACTCGGGCAACCCCCACGCTAGGCAGCTGCCAAGCCAGAGCCCAAGGCCCATCCTGGGCTCCCCCAGTTCAGGACAAGCCTGGCTCCGACTCTGTTTAAATGGGAGAAGTAAATCGAGGGTTCCTTTAGCACGTTAGGCTCCGATGCTGCGAAGATACCCCCAAGAGGGGCAGAGCACGTCTCAGGCAGGGAAACAACTGTCACTGTTTCCTATGGAGGCCGGGCTCCGTGTCCTCAGACAAGGATTCTCACCTCCAGGTCCAAGCAGCAGGCCCACGTGTCTGAGCTGAGGATGCTGGGCTCAGGGGGGAGAGGAAAAGCCCAGATGGAGCACGTGGACAGGTGAGGGGCAGGAGAGATGGAAGGAGGCTGATTATCAAAACCAAGACAAGCCTGGCTGGTGTGGCTCAGTGGTTGAGCGTTGACCCGTGAACCAGGAGGTCACGGTTCGATTCCTGGTCAGGGCACATGCCCGGGTTGTGGGCTTGGTCCCCTGTACGGGGCCTGCAGGAGGCAGATCAATGATTCTCTTTCATCACTGATGTTTCTCTCTCTCCCCTTCTTTCTCTTCCTTTCCCTGAAAACACATTAAAAACACACACACACAAACACAAACACAAACAAGGTGGAGGGAAAGACAGGAATAAAGAAAGCAAGAGGGGCCCGGGCCGGTTAGCTCAGTTGGGTAGAGCGCCGTCCCAATACACCAAGGTTGTGGGTTGATTCCAAGTAGAGCACATACAAGAATCAACAATGAATGCATAAATAAGTGGAACAACAAATCAATGTTTCTCTCTCTCTTCCTCTATCTCCAAAATTAATAGATTAAAAAAAAAGAAAGAAAGAAAGAGAGAAGAACAAAGGAGAGTCGAGAGAGGAGGAAGAGAAGAGGAAAATAACAGCTGAGAAGGGAGGGAGGAGAAACAGAAACGGGCGAAGAAAGCGCCAAGCTGATGAGAAAAGACTGGCTAGAACAGGAGATGGACTGGGGTCTTTGTAGGGGTCTGCCTCCAACCATGAACCTGCAATCGGCAGGCGCCCCTCTGCAGGGCCACGGCACCCGCGGGCCTACGACCTCAGCGAAAGCTTCTTGATTGCAGTGGCGAGAGCTCTGCAGGTCCTGGCTGCTGGTCCACTGACCGATGCCTCTAGGTGGTCAGGGTGACTGCTTCAGCCTCAGGTGGCAGGCAGCCCGGGCTCCCGCAGTGCCCTGGGCGTCAGTCTGTGTGCCCGTCTGGAATCACATCATCAGACCACACAAGTGTTCTCTTGAGGTACAACCTCAGCAGGGCAGGCCAGACAGGTGACACGGTGCCGTGTGGGAATGGTAGGAGCTGCTCAGCTCACGGGTCATCAGCTCCTTGAGGTCATGCAGAGGTCAACTGGTGCTGTCCGTGCCAAGCCACCACGGAGCTGCTCCATGTCCACCTGAATGTTGGTACCTTGACCTGCCCCACCCCGAAGAGCTGCAGGTCAGACCTACCTCCTTCCGGGGTGGTGAACTCCTTGGTCTCACTGCGAGGCCCATCGCCTCTCCCATTGACCACAACCATCTCCAGCTTGTAGTTACTGTAGGGAAAGAGGCGGGACACCACACCCCGGAGGCGGTCACCAGGGAAGCCGGCTTGCTGTCTCTTCTGAGACACCCACAGGCTCTTCAGTAAGCTGCTCTCCCGCCAGTAGTAGGCCTTCAGGACAGAAGCAGGCCGGTGAGGGGGCGTCAGGCAGAGCTGGGTTAGTGGTTAGTGGTGGTGGTGGTAGTGACCGGTCTTCCCTTTGCTGCCACAGGCTCCGAATCCCAAATGAACTCATCAGTCCCACACAGGGCCGGGGAGGTGGCCGACCGTCCCCGTGCGTTAGCCACTAGCGAGTCTGAACTGATGTCAAACAAGAAACAGGGTGTTTGGTTTCAATCGCCTCTCTGGAGGAGAGGCCAGCTGGCCAGGCTCACAGCTGCGCCGCTCCACCATGAGCCTGATTTCGAAGCTGGGGACCCGGTTGCTCAGGGAGTCTGTGCCAAAACCACAAATACCAGCCAAGGGTCCAAGCATGGCAAGCTCTGTCCCGGGCTCAGAGGCCGAGTCCCCTGAGTGGGATTAGTACGGTTTAAGACAGGCGGCAGGAGGAGCTGAAAAATAGCGGGCTACCCCCACAAGTCTGAATATGAGAAAGGGTTGTTTTAACGCTTTGAAGTCAGATGTTGCTTTTAACATTGTCTGAAGACCTTTAGAATCGGTGTCCAAGGCAGTGAGATGCCAGGCCGCCTGGTGGCAAGAGCTGGGACGGGATGGCCTATGGACGGTGGCAGTGTCACAGGTAAGGCTGAGAGCGTGTGTGACACGAGGTCTGGTTAGCAGTGGGTAGGAAGCGCCAGGTGAGGCTGCCACACCAGCGCCACCTAGGCCTCCGTCGGCAAGATAAGGAGGAAGTCCAGACTTACGAGGGCACCCAGAGGGACCTTTAGCCAGAAAAACCTTCAGGCAAGGAGGTTAAAGGTACAAGCCAACTGTTAGGGAAGAGCTCGTTCAAGAGTGCACACCATCTTGCCTGCCTCCCCCACTTACACATTCATTTCCCAAGAAGAGACCGGTCCCTCCATTCTGCCCCCGATTATCCACCAGCCAACGCTCCACCAATGACCTCTGAGGTCACAGAACCTGTGTGACTATCCCGTGGCTACAGCCTCCCTCGCTTCCCAGGCCCCTTTTAAACAGAGCCATTCCTAGGAAGAGCCTGGCTTATCCTGGGTTTCTCTCCCTTTCCCCCAACTCAGCTCACCCTTTCAAACAAGAGAGAAGACTGAGCAGAAACCGCTCCCAGGCAGGAAGACCTGAAGCCAGGAGCCGGGATGGCCCCTGTGCTGGATTACCTGGCGTGGTTGCGACCACAGGGAAGGCCTTTGCACCCTGTTAGCGGTTACACCTGTTAGTTGGGGCGTCACAATCAGACCGGGAGAGGCAAGCAGCCCAGCGGGGACCATTAGGAGCAGGCAGGGTGTAGCTCGGTGGTGCTTCAACAGAGCTTCTGTGCACGCGCGTGTATCCACTCACGCCTTACAGGCACGGCGTGCGATGCAACCTCCACCCAAGCCACTGCCCTTCACGTGATTTTCTGCTGAGCACACTCTCTCAGCATATCCGCTGCAGGACACATCTGGGGGTGTGTCCATGTATATATATGAATATAATTTTGAGGAGCTAACCCTAGACATCATCTTCTTGAATCAACTCTGGGTTCCACAGCGACCCTGAGGCCCCCTTCCAAATGCCTCCTGGCCTGCACCTGCTACCCCTGGCCCTGGTTATGGAGCGGGAGGTTAGGCGGGGCTGGGAGCTGGCTTCCTCACTCGGTACTCTCTGAGCTGGCCCTGGACCGTGTCGGAGTAGACGCGGTTCCACTGAAGGCTGATGGCTGTGCTGTTCAGGACTCGGATTTTAACGTCAGTGGGTGCAGCCCTGGGATCTGCAATGTGTTGGGACAGAGAGCAGGTTATGCCGGCAGGGTTAGCCCCAGGACCCCCAGTTCCCCTCCACTTTTCTCTGCTGCCCATACCTCCTCCCCACCCTGGACCCTGAGGGTAGGGACTCTGTCTTCTCCATCAGACTGTACTTGGAGGAGTGGGGAAAGGCTCAGAACAAAAGGGTGGCAGCCGGGGTAGGAGGGCGGGGTTTGCTACCCTCACATGCCGGGCCGTCTCCGTTTGCCCCTCCACTGCTTCTCCACCCTTCCCCACCCTACGGCATGTCCCAGGAGGCTGCCCTTCCTGGACCAAGTCAGCTGGGCTCCCTTGTTCTCAGGTTTCCGGATGTGTTTGCCCAATGGGCGCCAACAGGAGATCCTGGGGCAGGAGAGGTAGCTATGCCCCTTGCCGCCTGTTTGTGGGGCTGACGGTTGACAGCATTGCATTCTTCTGCCCAAGGCCCCGGTTCCTGTGGGTGGCCCTCAATGGCATGGTGATTCACCCACCCCCTGCCCCTTCAAGGCTCAGAGTCATCCCCAGCCCTCCATGTGGTCACCATACTGTGCTGTTTCCCCTCGAGCCCTGTGCTTACATTAGAAATAGTCCGCCTTGAGTGGCATTTGCTTCCTGCCAGGAAACATGACCACCAGAATAAAGGCACCTTATCCATGGCTACCTGGAATGGGAGGGCCACTCCCTCCCCATAACTGATTCCCACCCCCTATCTCCATTCTGCTGCAGAAGCAGTTCGGCCTCATCCCCTCTACTCCATCAGAGCAGAGGCCACAGAGTACAGATGCAATGGAGACTATGGGGCGATCCATGAAGTTCATGACCAGATGCTGCCCATTCCATACTTGCCATCCAGTAGTCTCCTGTCCAGAAGTGTCTGCCACCATGGAGATGAGGAGTGGGATGGACAGAGGGCCTGCTGACCTGCCCCCCTGCCACCCACTTATCTCCTTCAATCCACAATCACCTCCAGGAAAGTGGGGCACAGGGCCGAACCCTCACTTCTTCCCATCTCACTGTTCAAACATTGCTGGCCTGGCCCCTGACTCCAGCGTTGCCCCTGTGACTCCACTCCTCCCTATACTCTCCCCAGCCCCCACCCCGCACCATGATCTCTTCTTAGATCAGACCCAGACCCACTGGGGTACAAATCACCCTGACTGGGGGGGTAGGGGAGTGGTGGTGGTGCTCCACTGCCTCTCTTGCCTTGCTCAGCTGTCTACCGGATTGATGTGCTGGGGACAAAGAAGCCACCACCGCCTGGGAAGCCAGGCACCTGCTGCCACATATATGTCCAGAATCTCATTGATTCACCCACTGCAAGCCCCTAAGGGACTTCTCTTTTTATGCTCAATTCTGAGGGTGAGAGCATCCCTGGGAATGCTGGCAGGAGGCTGGTCTGGGTGGCTCCAGTCTGAGGCTCTGCAGACCTTCTCCATCCCCGAAGGCTGCCCGGGGGAGCCTGGGGAGGAGTCTGGCCCGTGGCCCTGCTTCCTGGGAGGAGCTAATGGCTCCTCGGGACACACAGTCCTGAAGTCTTTCTTGGTGCAGCGAGGATTGGCAACGGGCAGATCAGAAGGCCTGGGTTCGATTTTCACGCCCAGCACTTGCTGTTGTGTAATATGGCCAACATTTTCCTCGCGGGGCCTGTGTTCACATCCATCAAATGAGAGTGTTGGGCTAGGTGATGACGCTGAGTAATTTTAACTGGTGTCCAGATGACGCACTTCCGCTCCCGACACTATGAGGGCCCATCTGTTGCTATGTAGGTCACTGCTTCCTCTTTCCCGGGAACTAGCTGTCCTCCCGGTTCTGGGAAGTCCCACGACCCACCCGAGGTCCCTAGTCTGTGAGGGTGGCCCTTATGCAGCCCAGCCGGGAGGGTCCCGGGCGGGGGCCGGGGGAAGATACTCACAATCTTCCCCGGAGTAACCGATGACCGTGTCTGGCTCCGGGCCCTTCCCGAAGTCATTCTCGGCCTGCACTCGGATCTCGTAGGGCACGTAGACCGGGGTCTGCCCTACCACGAAGCGGGAGCCCCACACGGTGGCGTTGTTCCAGGTCTCTCGAGTCTCTCTCCGCCGCCACTTGACGATGTAGCGCAGGTTGGGGCCAAAGGCGGAGGTGGCATTCATGGGCTGGGTGGGGAGAGACAGAGGGCAGAGGTGGAGGGGCAGGTGGGGGGCCCAGACCCACCCACAGCTCGTCTCCTTCTCCCCCAGGCACCCCTCCAGATCTGCCCAACGCTGCCCAGCCCCCACCCTCACTGAGTCCTCCAAGAGCCGAGTCCCATGAACCCAGCAGCACACAGATTTTCTGTGACAAAGGCGTCCCCTGAGACCTCATCACCGCGACTCCCACGTGTGCAAGTGCATAGGGAGCAAAGGCCTTATTTTGGACAGGACTCTTTCCTACGGTGGAGCAACAAGAAAAAATATGGATGATAATATAATATTCTCCAAAGTCAGAAAGGCATGAGCTCTGGGTTAGCCACTGCATGCCTCCTGCCCGTGAACTCAAAGTTACAGAGCCGACTTCAGCTCTCCCTGAGGGCACGCAGGTCTGCCCTGTCCTCCCAACAGGTCCCAGCCCTCTCAGAGTGGGCGGAGCTCTGCCCTCTGCTCCCTAAGGGCCTGCTCCAGCGGCAAGCAGTCCCAGGGCACAGGATGGATTGTGGACCTGGAGCAGACCCTGCACAGCCCCGAGGATGTGCCGGCGACTGGGATCAGCCAGGCCCCGCTGCTGAGGCTGCTGGGAGACCAGGCCCTCAGCAGGATGGGGATGGTCTGGACTCCCAACCCTGTGTGTCCTGTTTCCATGATGCATGGCCACAGTATGGAAGTGCATTTCAGCAGCCAAGTTTGAAAACAAAGTCATTCTAATGCCTGCCTGGCGTGGCTCAGTGGTTGGGCGTCGACCTATGAACCAGGAGGTCACGGTTCGATTTCCGGTCAGGGGTCAGGGCACATGCCCAGGTTGCAAGCTCAAGTCCCAGTGTGGGGTGTGCAGGAGGCAGCCCACCTATGATTCTCTCTCATCATTGATGTTTCTATCTCTCTCTCTCCCTCTCCCTTCTTCTCTGAAATCAATAAAAATATATTTTTTAAGGAAGTCACTTTGAGGTGACACATCCAATTCTGATTTGGAAATGTAGTCAGTGAGCCAAAGTGAAGATGGGGTTCTTCAAACCTGGCCTGGAGTTCTCTAGTCCTGACTGTGAGAAGGTCTACACTGACAACACCAGCCGCCGGCCTCTCCTCGCTCCCAGCAATCTCGTGAAAGGAACCAGAACACACCCATGCGAGCACGGTGTTTATGCCCAGTCATTCCCAGTCCAACCTCAACCCCTCCTCCTCCTTCTTCTTGTTTTAATCCTCACGGGAGGATTTTTCCCCCATTAATTTTTAGAGTGGAAGAGAGAAGGAAAGACAGAGAAATATCGATGTGAGAAATCACATCGATTGATTGCCTCCTGCACTCGCCCTGACCAGGGCCTGGGCTGGGAAGGAGCCTGCAACCGAGGTACACCCCCTTGGCCGGAATCGAACCCAGGACCCTTTGGTCTACAGGCCGACGCTCTATCCACTGAGCCAAACTGGCTAGGGCTCAACCCCTCCTTCTTCTGAAGAAAGAAGCCCGTTTTATTTTGCTGGCTCTCTATGGTTTTGCCTGATTGCCCCCAACCACCTCTGCTCCTCTCTCCTGTCTTAACAGACACGCTCCTGCTTGGTTTCTGGACGTCCAACGCAGAGGAGTGGCCACCAAACCAGCCAGGCCGTCTGAGCCAGCCTGTGGCCTTGGGGTGTCAAAGGCATAAAGGGCGAGGGGTCCCAGGTGCACACTGCTGCCTTCGAGGCTGGGCTGGGGGACACTCACCGTCCACGTGATCTCCATGTTGTTCTTTCTGGTCCCCTCTCCCTTCACGTCGCTGGGATTGGACTCAGGGGCTGGAACCCAAATTGGCACAAAGTTTAAGTCCAATGTGTCCAGGGCGTAGTGACCACCTGGCTCCTTCCCACCCGCCTGGTCTCTCCTACGCTGTTCCTCTGTGTCTCTCTGCTCTCCCGTCTCATGGGCAATGGAACCTGCTCTGTCGTGTCTCACGTGTGTGACGTGCGTGCCTAGCTCATTAACCCCTCTCAATTGCAATGCCTCTCAGACAGACTTGTCATGAGGCTTTTCACACTTCAGATGCCCACATAGCCAACTCATGGATCATCCCCTTCATGGATCAGCCGCTAAATATGTTTAATAGCAGGCGGGTTCACCCCAGCATTTAACGTTTTGGGGATGTCAACAAGCCAGTGTGATTTCAGAAATCTAAATATTACCCAGGAAAAGAAATCTGATAAAATACTGGGTTACATATTTCTGCTGCAAGTGTTTGCCACAGCTCTTCTCTTCCAAGCAGACCATCGAAATTATTAATAACACTAGAGCAGTGGTTCTCAACCTTCCTAATGCCGTGACCCTTTAATACAGTTCCTCATGTTGTGGTGACCCCCAATTTCATTGTTACAAATTGAACATAATTAAAGCATAGTGATTAATCACAAAAACAATATGTAATTAAGAAATCTGATAAAATACCGGGTCACACATTTCTGCTGCGTGTCATTCGACCCATAAAGGGGTCGCGACCCACAGGTTGAGAACCGCTGCTCTAGAGGCCCAGTGCACGAAAATCGTGCACTGGTAGGGTCCTTAGCAGCTGCCGGCTGGGGCCTCCCTCCTTTCCCCCTACTGGCCTCGCCCCCTGGTCGAACTCCTGGTCGAGGGGACAATTTGCATGCTATCCTTTTATTATACAGGATTAGTAATAATAAAAATGACAGTTAACACGAGTGCTCGCATTTCCAATGGAATCCTCACCGCAGCCCCTCTGGCACCGTGCTGATAGTACAGATGAGGGAGCCAAGCCTCGGAGACGTTAAGAAACTTGCCCCAAATCCACACGGCTGGGGGCTGGGGGCACCCAGTGGGAGCTCAGGGTGCCTGCTCCAGCGCCGCCGTGGGTGAGCCCTCGGGTACTCACGGGCCCCGCTGGTTCTGTAGCGCTCGGACGGGAGGCTGGGGTGGCTGCTGCCCACCTCGTTGACAGCAATGACCCGGAACTGGTAGTTGACGTACGGGGACAGCTGCAGGACAGCCGAGTTGACGCTGCCTGGGAACTTGGAATGGTCGTGCCACACCCCTGGCTGGAACTGGTCCTCTTCGAACTGGACTACATAGTCTGAGGGCAAGGAAGACAGTGCTTCAGGGGCTGCGTCAGCTGACTTCTTCCTGAAAGCATCCCCATGGTTTTCATTCTCTCTATAACCTCCCTCGGTAGAGGGGGCACAGGGAGGGTTCCTATCAAGACACTGAAAGGGAGACAAGGCTTCCGTGGGGTCTGCAAACAGCCCAGGGCACGGGCCAAGTGAGGGGACGGGGACCGACCCCAGGGCCAGGCCTCCGAGCTCCCAGCTGCCCCACCCTCTTCTCTGGCCCGGAGCGCAGGGCCTGGCTGACCTGTGATGGGGCTGTTGTTATCATCCCCTGGGATCCAGGTCAGCCTCACGCTCCTCTCGGCCAGGTCGGTGAGCTCCAGGTCCCGCGGTCTGTCCGGCCGTCCTGGCAGCAGAGGGAGAAGACACCGCGCAGGACTCCCGAGTTAGAGCCAGCCCGTCCTTGTGGTGGCCCCAGCCCTGACCACACCCACGGACAGGTCCCTGGAGGGCGGAGGCCACCACAGCAGGGCCCACCCCCAGCCTGCCCTGGAGGGTCAGCACAGGGACCACCCCTTCCCTCAGGGGGTCAAGGGAGAACAAAGAGGAGACTCCAGTCCCACCTCCCTCTCCAAGAGAACCCAAGGATGCAGGGCACAGAGAGAGTCGGACTGGCCATCCCATTCCAGGTATCTTGGAGGGCAAGCACTTGGGAATGCTTTTCCCTAGACGCGTGTTCACATTTAGGAAAGCCAGTGAGGAATGTGGACTTTGTCTCGTTTTCTCAGGATTATTATTTTCTACTCTGTACCCCACGGCTCTGAGGGGCAGGAGCCAGAGGGTGTGTGGGTGCTGAGCGAGGCAGACAGGCTCAGGGGATGGGAGGGAGGAAGGGGACCAGGCCAGGGAGGAGATGGGGATGTGGTCGCACAGGGATGGACAGGACAGGACAGGAGCCCAGCAGGCTTCCGATCAGTGGGGAGGCAGCACCGTTTGGGGGCTCCAGTCTCACTGGGCTGCCTTAGTGGGGGTGAGTGCCATCCCAGCCTGGGGATAAAGCCACGCCACTACGGATTGGTGGGGTGGCATAACTTCCCCCTCTATGGCTCCGTGAACCAGCCATTTCCACATGTTGGCCGATCACTGGAAGAATCTGGAAGGTGAGCCCCCATTCGTGTGTGCAGACTGTTTGTGGGTACATAGTGCTGGACATGGAGAGGCTGCAGAAAATGTGGGCCCACAGATGGTTTGAAGCAAGGGGACCACAGGCATGTCCGAGGCCAAAGAGGAGAACAGGCCTCCCCATGGGCATGGTGAGAGCTCAGAGGTCAGGGACGCAGGAGAAAAGGCAGCCAAGGATGTCTAAGCTCAACCTGCACCTGGAGCAGGAAGCCAGGCTGTGATGCTCAGGGAGGGAGCGGATTGGACAGGGCGTGGGGGTGACGCACTGCCCACCCAGCACCTCCTGGGCAGTGCTCTCCTCTGAGACCCCACCCTCCCCGGGCCTAGCGAGGGCTGGGCCAGGGTCCCGATTAGTATGAATTACCTTTGGGGAGGGCAGCCAAACGGTTAGTTGGAGTGGTCTGATCAGCTGCAAAGGTAAGACGGTTAACCAGGTTAGCTGGTTATCTGGGGTTAGAGGTGTTCCAAAAGGGTGGGAGCAGGCGGCCGAGGCTGGGAGAGCTGCCCCTGCAACAAGTTTCCCCACGGCTTCCCCTCCTTCCACAGAGCCTCACCCCTAGAGGCCTCCTGTGCTCCCATCACCTCCTTCCTCTCCCAGGGCCCCATCACCCTGGGCCCCATCACCTCCTTCCTGTCCCAGGGACCCATCATCCTCCCTCCTCAGGGACCTCTCATCATCAGCCCCATTTTGCACCTCTTGTTCTGTGAACTCAAAATAGGCAGTTCGGCATCTCTGGTGTCGGGCCGGCCGAAGGCTGGGTGGACTGA